CTGCTACTACTACTACTGCTACTACTACTGCTGCTACGACTACTACTGCTGCTGCTACTGCTGCTGCTACTACTACTACTGCTACTTTAGTATCCCAGTGTGTACTGTAATGCCTCAGTATATGTGTGTACTTTAATACTTCATGTCTGTCAAACTCATGTATTTACATAATTTAAACTCTGAAGTATTTTCCTGCAAACTTTTCAGAAATGACGGATCATTTTAAATAAAGTGATACTTTAAAAACAACAGTACATGTATTTAGTTTATATAATGTTTATATAACTAACGGATCATTTAAATAGAGTCATGTGATCTTTAGTCCACATGACTCTCTAACAGACTGAAAAGAGGAAGTGAGCCAACGAGGACGTTAACTGACTACAGATCAGATCTGAGCACAGACACACAACTAAAGAAGTAAAGAAGTAAAGTACAGGAAGTAAAACTACAATCACAGCAACACATTCTTCTTCTCTTCTCTTTTTACTGCAGGGAAACACTCTTCTTCTGTGGTTTACAACAAACTGTAATGGATTCTTTATAAAGGTTTTTGTTGTTGAGAAACTTCTTCACACACACACACACACTCTCTGGAGGTCAACAGAGTTCAGTCTCAAACCATCAAAGAATGAAAAACATTTAACTTTCTGTTTCTTCATGTTAAACTGTTGAACCAGATCCAACACACACATTACCCTCCTCCTGCTCCTCCTCCCTTATTTTACCAACAAAACAAGTTTCATGTTGAGAAATCTTTCATCTCCTGTTTCTGTTTCCCCCTGCTTCCAGTCTTTGTGCTAAGCTAGGTTAACAATTCCCCCTGCTTCAAGTCTTTGTGCTAAGCTAGGCTAACAGTTTCCTCTGCTTCCAGGTTTTGTGTCAAGCTAGGCTAACAGTTCCCCCTGCTTCCAGGCTTTGTGTTAAGCTAGGCTAACAGTTTCCTCTGCTTCCAGGTTTTGTGTTAAGCTAGGCTAACAGTTTCCTCTGCTTCCAGGTTTTGTGTTAAGCTAGGCTAACAGTTCCCCCTGCTTCAAGTCTTTGTGCTAAGCTAAAACAGTTTATTGGACTAAAAGAGGTTTGAGTTTTGTCTGGAGCATCAGGTTTTCCTCTGTCCCCCTCAGGTCCAGGTCTGGTCTCAGAGGCCCCCCCGGCGGGCCGTGGTCCTGACGGGTCACCATCTGGTCTCTGACCCTGAGGTCCAGCTGTACCAGCAGGTCCTGCAGCAGATGGACTACGAGGTCCAGCTGTCCAGATACGCCGAGACCAGCAGCCTCCTCCGAACCGACCACGGTAACAAACTGTGTGTGTGTGTGTGTGTGTGTGTGTCTGTGTGTGTGTGTGTGTGTGTGTGTGTGTGTGTGTCTGTGTGTGTGTGTGTGTGTGTGCGTGTGTGTGTGTGGTTTACTGCTGGGTGGAGACTTCCTGTCCCACTAACAGAGCAGCTGCAGGTCAGAACGTAAACACACTTTTTAAAGTGACAGAATCATGTGACTATGATGTCACTATGACAAACCTTCATCACCGTCATCTTCCTCACACTGGGTGTAGTTTTGTGGGGGCGGAACTTCAGGGCTCAGCAGACCAGCATGTGGTCCAGACCTTGATGAGGATCCACTATCGTTGATGAGTCAGCTGTTTGTTCAGTTACTGACCAGGTCACAGCGTAAACAACAGGTGTGTCTGATGATTGACAGCTGAGTACACAGAGGGGGGCGGGGCCTGATGTTTCTACCAGCAGGTGAAGAAGAAGAAGAAGAAAGAGACTTTTATAACCTTCATAAATCACAGACTGACAAGCTGACCTTCACTCACATGGTTCAGTCCATATGGTTTTATGTACTTATTATTTATACATTGCTCTATAAAGTTACTCTATAATGTTGCTCTGTAGCGTTGCTGCTCTCTCATGTCTGTGTTTTTATGGAGGAACGTCTCTCCAGAGAACACAGTGGAATGTTTGGTTAAACCTCAGCAGCAGGCTTCCTGTGTCCTCCACAATCACTTCCATATGTTTTGTCTGTGCCCATATTTGGTCACACGTTTGTTATGACAGGCTGCTTCCTCTCTCTCTCTCTCTCTGCCTGCTGCTCTTTATTTATTTAAACTTTATTCAGGTTTTTCTCGACAGCAACATGAAGAATTGTTCATCAACTTTAATCATGTTTCAGTCCAACATGTTTCTTTAACTTCCTTCTCTTAGGGTTTGTAATCATGATGATCAGTCTGTTGTTAGAGACTTCCCTCCATGTTTACAGGTGTCACTTCCTGTCTGTGTCTCTCTGTTACAGGTGTGAGGGGGTGGAGCCTGTTGGTGTGTCTTAGTAGTTCAGAGAGAAGCTGTCTCAGGAGAGTCTCCTTCTCTCACCTGCAGCATCATCAGACGGTGAGACTCACCGGTCCATCAGAGTCACATGGTTTCACCTGAGTTCTTCTAGACTCACCTGTGTCTCTGTGTCCTCAGGTGAACTTGTTGCCCCGGATCATCGAGGCGTTCTCTGATGCAGGCGAAGGGTTGTGTCACTTCTACAGTCAATCACACCTGACAGGTGAGTCACGCAGGAAACAGTTCAGACGTTACCTGTCCAGGTGAGTCACACAGGAAACAGTTCACACGTTACCTGTCCAGGTGAGTCACACAGGAAACAGTTCACACGTTACCTGTCCAGGTGAGTCACACAGGAAACAGTTCACACGTTACCTGTCCAGGTGAGTCACATGATCCTTACTCGTCCAATCAGATGAGTTATTTACTTTTTTCAAAATAAAATCCCACTGCCATTCAAGATAGCTTCACCTGAGACTTTTATGCGTAAATTATTTTTAAATAAAGTTTATTTTGAAGCTGACAAAGGGTACATCCCAAGTCTCTTAAGTGTCGTTTCCTCACTCCTCGATGAGGGAGGAGGGAGGAGGGACCTTGGAGGAGCCGTGAGCGAGGAACCACGAGAGCTTATAAACAGAACACAGGACACAGTTAGTTAACAGACTATAGAGAGAAACACCTCTACAGTGGTGATTACTGTGTCTTTATTAGTTACTAGTATTATTAGTTACTGTTATTAAGTACAGTGATCATGCGAACAGACACTAACTTATCAAAAGTCTCTCCAGCTGTTAAAGCCGACTGACAGCTGATCCAGCTGTGATCATCTGATCCTCCGTCATCAGAAACAGACGTCGCTTCACGTGACGCAACTGAGGAAAGGACGACTCTTAAAACATATCTCCTCGTTCCTCTCTCCTCGCATGGTTTCCTCCATGCATCCCTGGTGGGAGGGACTAAGACGCAAGGAAAGGACGCAAGTGGACGCAAACGGGGATGACATTAAGAGACTTGGGATGTACCCAAAGACTCACTTACCTGTTTCTGTTCCACTGTCTCAGGTTCTGAATTACCCATGATGCCACATGCCTGTGGATCGACCAATCAGAAGCTTCAGGTTCCTCAGGACCCAGCGGGAGCCGACAGGTGAGAATATTGCTTCAACCAGGTGAGCTTCAGTGTGATCACCTGTCTGTGTGTTTACCGTTTCTTCTTCTTCTTCTTCTTCTTCTGTCAGACACTCACCTGCCGGAGCTCCGCCTCCTGCTCTGGTTGCCATGGTGAATACTTACGTACTGGTGACGTCAGTGAAGCCGCTGACTTCCTTCCTGCATGACATCAGCGTGGTGACAACCAATCAGGAGCAGCGGGGACGGCCCATAAAGGTGAAACACCTGTACGGTTTTCTTTTGTCAAAAGTAGTTTTTTATATGACATACATATATTTTTTGCTCTTCAGCTCAGGAACTTCCTGCTGCAGAGGCTGGGCCCGCCCACTTCCCATGATGCCTTGGGGCAAATAAAGAAGGTGATAGGTGACGTGTTATTGGCTGCCCTGTCGACCAATGAGAAGCAAGAAACTCTCAGCAGGTAAACAAACTCACAAGAAACTTTATGGATTATTGATTATTGATTATTGATGGTGTGTTACAGGTGTGTGTTGT